AATAGAATAGTTTCAAACTGAGATAGACTGGATACGAGTTCATATATCAAGAGATTATCAACACAAGACCCACATGGTCCGAAAGCGCCCAAAAAGCTTTACAAACTTTTTTCTGTTTGGTTTCTCACGGATTAATAATGAACCGCGAGACACAGTTTTTCCAAACATTTAAATTACGTTTGGACATGTGTGCGGTAACACTTTTGCAAGTTTTAAATGGCTTTATCGTATTCAATATTGGCCCGATAAACAGCAAACTTTAAGGCTCGTTTTGTTCTTTCTGACTATGTGGATCTTGCGTTGATTTTTCCTTAACACACCGACTCGTATCTAATCCCCCTCGGTTCGAACCCAGGCAATGCTAAGACTTGCCTTTCCTAATGCAGTAAATGTTTCTGGGAAAAGAACTTTTGTGCAGCGTGGTAAATGACAGTGTTGAGGTGGTGAGCATGCACTGCTGCAGCTCCAGTCTTGAAAACTATCTGACATGTTGAACTTGCCAGTTTGAAAAGAAGCCACTTCTCCATTGACAAACTGGAATAAACAAGGTACCGATGAGGCATTAAATGGACTAACCCACAGCAATTCACCGGGAAAGTAATAACAGATAAAATCTAACGGATGGGAATACCACCAGTGGAATGCCACCACCAACACTGACCTCTACTCTTAGAGAATACATCCCCCCGCCCTTCCTCCCCACGGATCCCATGAGGGTATTGTTTGCCTGCGGACGTTGGTTGAGCACTGGCTAAGCTGAACCGACCGTTGATTAGCACATTAGATCATCTCGTATGTATTTTACGCTATATAAGTAATAAATTACTATTGTTATAAAGTTATTAATAATAACAATAATAATAAATTAAATTAATAGAGAAGGACCAACTTCTTTGCGAAGAAATAGGGAGGTTGTGGAAGCTGACGAAGGTGACAGTTGTGCCAATTGTGATTGGCACATTAGGAGCTGTATCCAATATCAGTTTGAGAAATACACGGGAAAGCTGAACGTTACCATCATACTTGAAGTATAACAATAATAGAGATAATAATGATGATAGTAATAATAATAATAAAATAATAATAATAATAATAATAATAATAATCTTTTATTGATTACTAAGCTAACTATAAAAACCTATTTATAATTAATTACGCTTCCAAAAACTATTCAGTCGAAGCGATATTTACAATTCCTTTCAATTTAAAAAAACTATTTTCAAAGGTAAACGTATTCTAACTAAAAAAGGAAATAAAATAGCGTTCTCAATGTCTTATCGAATATTTGCGAATCCTTTTTCAACATCTAATAATAATAATAGTAATAATAATAATAATAATAATAATAATAATAATAATAATAATAATAATATTGGCTCTGGAGACAAGCGTATAAGTGCCCAACCCTCATTAGTGGGACCCAAGCCAAACAACTAGAGGTACGTGTCGGTGTACGAATTTCATCATGCGATAAGGAGCGTTGGCTGGAAAAATTGCGAGATGCAAGACGCCAAATTTTTATATTATTTGCACTTTAAAGGGCAAGTTCGACTTCCTTCAGTCAGTGTTGGCACTTCAGTGTTGAGTAGGCGATATTGTTGTTCATGTGTTTTAATGTTTTAGGGGTCGACGGAAATTTAGCAGGATTAAAAACCAACGTGTTTGAATGACTGTTCAGTCTTGTTGCTAGCGAAAACTTATACGATCGGAGTAGTAGCGCTAAACTAGGCCAAATGGAAATAATATAGGTGCTTATTTCTTTTTCCAAGTGTTACACAAGGAGAAGGCAATACTGATGCAATACTTATAAAACGTATTAGGTTATTTTCTTCCTACAAAGATCCTGTTTGTAGCAATATTTACCTTGTACAATAGTTTTTTACTCGAAAGGAATTGTAAATATTGCTTCGACTGAAAAGTTTTTGGTAGCGAAATTAATTATAAATATGATTTTATAGTTAGCTTTGTAATCAATAAAAGATATTTATTATTTTATTATTATTACTATTATTATTATTATTATTATTATCTTTATTATTATTATTATTATCTTTATTATTGTTATTACTTTAACTATGATGGTAACGTTCAGCTTTCCCGTGTATTTCTCAAACTGATATTGGATACAGCTCCCAATCACAATTGGCACAACTGTCACCTTCTTCAGCTTCCACAACCTTCCTATTTATTTGCAAAGAAGTTTGTTCTTCTTTAATTTATTATAATTACTTTATAACAATAGTAATTTATTACTTATATAGCGCATAATACATACGAAGATGATCTAATGCGCTAATCAACAGTCGGCTCTGCCTAGCCAGAGCTCCTCCAACGTCCGCAGACAAACAATACACTCAAGGGCTCCGTGGGGAGGAAGGGCGGGAGGATGTATTCTCTAAGAGTAGAGGTCAGTGTTGGTGGTGGTATCCCACTGGTGGTATTCCCATCCGTTGGATTTTATCTGTTATTACTTTCCCGGTGAATTGCTGTGGGTTAGTCCATTTAATGCCTCATCAGTACCTTGTTTATTCCAGTTTGTCAATGGAGAAGTGGCTTCTTTTCAAACTGGCAAGTTCAACATGTCAGATAGTTTTCAAGACTGGAGCTGCAGCAGTGCCTGTTCGCAACCTCAACACTGTCATTTACCACGCTGTACAAAAGTTCCTTTCCCGGAAACATTTACTGGATCAGGAAAGGCAAGTCCACCTATTACCTGGGTTCGAACCGAGGGGGATTAGATTCGAGTCGGATGTTGGGGGAATATCATCGCAAGACCCACAATGTCAAAAAGAACAAAACGAGCTTTAAAGTTTGCTGTTTATCGGGCCAATATTGAACACGATAAAGCCATTAAAACTTGCAAAAAATGTGTTACCGGACACATGTGCAGACGTAATTTAAATGTTTGGAAAAACTGTGTCTCGCGGTTCATTATTAATCCGTGAGGAACCAAACAGAAGAGTTTTGTAAAGCTCAGTGTGCTCTTTCGGACTATGTGAGTCTTGCGTTGATAATCCCATGATATATGGACTCATACCCAGTCTATCTTAGTCTGAAACAAGTCTATTAAATGCTTACATGCCAAGAACGTCGTTACTGTCACGTATTATTTAAATCAAAATGAAGTCAAGTAGTCTGATTAAAAACACAAACTAGACAATCCCTTCCATTTCTGCATTTCACAATAGCGGAAAACCATGGGTAATAAAATCTGGGTTATCTATGCATCCGAGAAAATTGGGTAATCCCTTAACCGTACGCCCCTACACTACAGAAAAACCAATGTGAAATTTCATTTTCTAGTGAGTGTGGCAGCTCGCAATTTTGGACTTTCACTCTTGAGCTTAATTGACAGCTGTCAAATCAGGGTATCCTCTAATCAGTATCACATGACCATATCGTGGGCTTAGGGAGCTCAACTCATCTAGGTCACGCGTCTTTTTAGTTTTACCTAGACCAGTTATTACTAACTGAAATTGATCCCAGGCTCAAGTTACATATTAGCATTTTTTTTTGGACACGAATTTCCTCGCAAGGTCGTTTTTTCAATTCTATGCAGTTACCGTTGTAATGTATGAAGAGAAGCTTCTCTTTTAGCTCTGGCCAAATTAAGATATTATACTTTTTTTGTTCAAGCCTTTTAGGCCAGTGTGCACGTTTCACTAAGCCATGGTGAAAAGTTTTCACGTGTCCACTCACCTGCTGCATTGTGGGTTCATTCTGTCAATACACATGGATTTGAGGCATGCGCACGTGAGGCAGGTGATGGATCAAATGGAACTGGAATCATAAACTGGATGGCTTTCCAAGATCAACCACAAGTTACATCTGGTAGCATAGCGTTTGGTGGAATGTGGACAACAGAAACCAAATGTGATATACTAACCTTTAAACAGGCAAGGCGACATTGATTTCTCACCCAGGAACGCTTGATCGACTGTCTAGAAATTGTGTTTCTTTGTTACCCTAACGAAGATATGTGAATATTTCAGAACTTTGCTGCAACACCCTTTGTTTTTCTCTCGGCGAAGTACACTCGAACCACAAAGCCCAATGATGCAGTGTAT